ATGTGTTCCCAAACCCATGGTATAGATGCCTAATGCCAGATTGGGGATAGGCAGGGGTCACAATGGTGGCCCCGTGGTTTATTAGAACTGCCCCATGGCTGGGATTTTTATTGACCCCTTGGTCTCATGCTCATTTCACACCTGTTTAGATAATCACTTCTCCCCTGCTTCTTCACCACTAGTCCTTCTAATAGCAATTACTTCTAATTGAAGGGTTCAAGGTTGAACAGTGGTCCTGGCCTCTCTGAAATAAAACCACCGATTGTCTTGTGGGACAGTTCCCTATGTCTGGGCTCCCTCTGTGGCTGTAGAGGGAGCACGGTATGCCTGGTTCTTTGCCAAATGGATGCCCAGTGCTTTGGAAAACCTGTTCCTTCCTGCTTGGCCTGAGAGTATAATAAAATAGAATTTTCCCAAGTCTCTACCAGGCCCAGCCTCCTGGGTCCTCAACAGCTGGGAAGAGTTGACACGGAGGAAGACATACCAAGGAGAGCTTGGGTAACTCATAGAAAATGTGACTCCTATAGAGGGAACGTAATGGGACACCTGGCTGTGTACCTTCATCATCACTCCCAACCCCAGAATAAAGTCAGCAGACTCCTGGGGAAGGGCTGGCTTGATTGACCTTTCTGATGGGCCTGCTCTGCTTAGTGTATCAGAGTCTGTGTGTTCAGGGCAGAGCCCCAGTGCATGGTGGGTTTTTACTGGGCAAGGAAACCACCTGTCTTCCCTCGTAGAGGTGCAGGTAAGATTGCAGAGAAATGGCGGCCCTTCCTCTGCCTCTGCTCTGAGAGAGTGGAAGAACTCACTGGAGCCTAAGATGTAAGTACAGATGAAGGCTAACTTTGTGCAGGCCCATCTGTATGTTGACATTTGGTTATGAGATGCATGTGGCTATCAGACATGATTCCAGAGCAAGGAGCAGATATGAAGAGGGGGGATGAGTATCCATCCGTAATTGGATGCAAGACTGTCCTGTGGATTACAGTCAAAAAAGGATGAGTATACTATCCAGTCCTTGCTCTCCTGGAGAGGCAAAGTTCCACTGAGTAGAGGTTGTCTAGCCCTCCTGCTTGCCATTTTACAGAGAGAGGTGCAGAGCACTCATATTGCTTCCCATAGGGCATTCCTGGACAGAGCTACTAAGCTGGTTCCAGTCATGATGCCAGCCCTGCCCCATAGAGGGCACTGTCTTTGCCTCTTGAGTTCATCTCTAAGACTTAGATGCTAAGTCTCAGCCTGTCCACAAACACCCAGCTTTACATCTCCCTATGAGATCCCAGGATGTCTAGGTAAAGGTGTGCATAAGGCTGAGTACCGGCTCTGTGCATTGACTCTAGGGTTTACTGGAAGGTGTTTGCTGGGGACAGCAACCTTGTTTACTTTTGCTTACTTTTGTTTACTCCTTCTTATGGAGTCTAGCATAAACAGTAAAATCAAAAGCATCCTCTTTGGTAGCTAAATGCAGCCTGATGCTTCCAGTGTTTCTATGACACACAAGGTTAATTTTAATAACAAAATGACTCAACACTATTTGTGTGCCTTCGACATGTTTAACTTCTTGGATTCTGTGACAGCCTTACTGATAGATCTGGTTTTCTCTGTCAACTTTTCCCAGGGGGAAACTGAGGCTCGGGACACTTAAGAATTCTGGGTGGTACAGTTGGCAAGGCAAGGAGGTTTGGAACACCTCTTGGTCCTGACTTGTCAGGCATAAATCCAAGGAATAGCTGCTCATCTCCACCAAGGCTGAGTGTTTATATGGAGCTCCCTGACTAGGGTTGGGCTTGCTTATCTCTGGTTGGACCAGGGTGATCCTAGGTGTGCACAGCTCTCTGGAATTGGAGGGTATTTATATTTAATGTCTATATTTCATGGCTGGTTCCAATGGCTCGTCTTCCATAATGGATGGCATAGAAGGTTTTTTATTTTGTGTACCTGTCCAAGTGACCTTTATACATATAATGAAAGCAAAGTATCATAGTAAGAATAAATCACTAAAAGGAAAATAAAGGAAATGTTATGAATTTACAATGCATCCTGTCTTTTAATATACACACAAAACATTTAAGATCAATATGAGAGCAGACACTCAAACTGGAGTAAAAGGAAACAAAGCTACCTTTGTTGAGCCATAAATAGGAGCTGCAGAAACTCATACATGAATTTGGCTGTGGGCTCTCTTGTAGCTAAATCTGAAAAAGAAGCCCAGTCAGCCATTCTACATGCCAAGTGTGCACCATTAAAATGGGGTTAGGATACAGGAGTGGAGACAAATGTCAGTTGCCTAGAAAATAACCAGGTAGACAAGGAACGTGAATTGTTGTCAAGGTTGCTGATTGAGCTGCATCATTGCTCAGGAAATCCAGTGAGATTGCTCAGAGTTCCTCATCTTCAGTTAACATCTCTAAATTGATAAATGCTTCAATCCCCTCTCCTTGCTGTAGGGTAAAGCATGGCACTTAATGCCAGCAAACGTCCATTTTATCAGAATCTTGCTCATTTAAGAGTGGCGTGAGAACTAGCTCATTGCTATAGGGCTTGTCAGGATGCGTAAATCATCCTGCACGTTGATTTCAGATCCAGGCATTAGCTATGGGAGTGGTCATCTTGCATGATGATAAAAACTTGGTCTTTCTTTTAATTATTTTTTTTATTTTATATACTAACCTCAGTTCCTTCTCCTGCCCCCCTACCTACCCCCCTATCCACTCCTCAGAGGGGGTAAGGCCTTCTTAGGGGGCATCAACAAAGTCTGGCATACAAAGTTGAGGCAGGGCCAAGCCCCTCCCCCTGTATCAAGACTGAGCAAAGTATTCCACCAAAACCTGGTCTTTACATGTAAGTAATTGTTTAGGTTGGATTGCATTTTAAAAATATTCCCATGAAGGGGCTGGGGAGGGGGGCTTAGTTGGTAAATTGCTCACCATGAAATTGTGTGGGTTTGACTTCAGATCTCTAGCACCAATGTAAAAAACTAGGCATGGAGGTATACACCCCTCATCCTAGTTCTGGGCAGGCAGGGACAGGATGATTCCTGGCTTGCTGGCCAACCAGTCTAACTGAATTGGTGGGTTCCCGGTCCAGTAAAGAAGCCTTTTCTCAAAATATTTAAGTGAGGAGCTATAAAGGAAGATGCCCAAGGTTGTCCTTGGCTTCGACACACATACCATGTGCACTACTTCCCTACACATACACACACACTCACTCACACACACACACACACACACACTCACACACACA